AGAATTAGACTAAATAAAAACATAAAAGGACTTAAAATAAAAGAGGAAGAATACAAGGTCCAAGCTTTTGCTGATGATCTTGTATTCTTCATAGAGGACCCATTAGAAATACAATTCAAATTAACGGAGGAGATAGAGAAATTTGGCAGGGTGGTAGGGTTAAAAATTAATAAAGACAAGACTAAAATATTAACTAAAAATTTAACAATAAAACAAATAGAAGAGTTGGAACAACAATCAGGACTGCAAGCAGTTAAGGAGATAAAATACCTAGGTATAATCTTGACAACTAGAAATGTAGCTATTAAAGATAATAATTATGGAGAGCTAGTACAACAAATCAAAAAAGACCTAGAGAGATGGGGGAAACTTAAATTATCACTGCTAGGAAGAATCGGGGCAATAAAGATGAACATACTCCCAAGGCTCCTCTACTTATTCCAAACTATTCCGGTTAAATTAGAGAAAAACTTCTTCACAAATCAGCTCAGCTGGGCATGGGGGGGGGGCAGGGATTTTTAATAATATTAATATAATTGTCACAGGTTGTAAGCTTTTCCGAGTAAAGATGCCTTTTGCAATTAGACTGATGGTGAATTTGTCAGTGCCAATGGTTTTAGTGACTCATGAAGATATTTTGGAATTGTACCAAGGCACCTATTATTATTGGTACTATCTTTGCTTTTTTGTCAAGTTGTTCTATTATCTTTTGCCACAGTCATCATCATTATCATCATCATTATTTAGACTGGCTTTTTTATCCATCTGTTGAGCCCTTCCCAAGAACCTGGGGTAGACAGATGTTATTGTTGATGGTGTTAACACTATTGCTGCAGGATGGTATTCAAGAAGTACTCTAGTAGGTGTGGATCAGGGGTGAAATGCTCCCGGTTCGAACTGGATCATCCAATCCGGTAGCGATGGGAGCGGGTGGTTCGGAGAACCGGTACCGATGGCAGCGGGTGGTTCGGAGAACCGGTAGCAAGCAACATCTGCCTATCCCAGACTCTTAAGAAGGACTTAATTGGTAAATAAAAATGCCAAAGCCAATTTAAATATCTGACTGTGTGATCAACCATAATTTTTAATTTGGTGAAATGGTTTTCTGTTGTTTCTTAACAAGAAACAATATTTTGAAATTATGTTTTAATAATTTAATAAATATACTAAAAACCATACTGGCTGATTTTGGGGAAATCAGCTCATATATATTAATCAAGGTAGAGTATTGTCCTATCTACTTTCACACTTCTGGGGTTAAAAATAAGTAAGCAGTAGCAGTTTCCTATGACCTGAACATTTCAAATATTTCAAGTTTTATTTCAAACGTAGATAACTTGAAATATTTTATCTATGTATTTAAAGTGGGGTTGTTTTGTTCCATCCTTGAAACAAATGCATGTTTTTTATGCATACCCTTACGCATAATCTGCCTGTTCCTTCTCTTCCTAAAAAATTTGCTAGTATGCTTAGAAGCAAACCGTATCTTTGAACAGGTATGTTTCTCATGAAAATCAACCAATTACTTTGTAAAAGGAGTAAGATCACTATTCTGGATAAACTACTAGGAAGAAAAATCATTTATAGAAATAATTATGGTAGCGATAGTGAACTGATTGAATTATGAAAAAAAAGAAGGTAACTGGAGGCATAAACAGAGTAGCTCCTCTCCTTTGGTTGCTGTCTTTGATGCATTCCAATTGTTTCCAACACTTACTAGTCATTGTATACAGAATATATACTCAATTATTCCACACAGAATCAACATTAAAAGAATCAACTAATTATTAAATAATTAGTTACATGGAGCTGAAGCTAAGTAAGACATTGCAAAATTTTAAAATGTGGCGTATATTAAATTTATAATACACCAGATTAAACTGCACTAAAAGCTGTTAAAATTACTTAAAAACATACAGAAAAGAAACAGTTTATTAAAGGATCTGAATACATAAATAGGGGTGGTCAAGAATGGAAAAGGTATGAAAGGAGAATCTGGGTAAGACATTTCATAAATGGAAGGATTATCTTGGCCTGACCTTGGAAAAAGGCATCTGATGGGAATTTCATCATGGTCCGTGTAGAATATATAGGGACTTTGCACCATAAGCCACGAAGGCCTTTATATGTCAAAACATTCATTCATTATATGTCAAAACATATATTGTTTGGCCATGGTTAGCTTACTGTCCAGTAAGTCAGCCATGACCAAACAATATTTATTTATTGTTATACTATATTTATATACAATGCATTCAATTGAATTAAAATTAAAACAAAATGTGTCATAGTATCATAAAAGATTACAATGAATTAAATAATTGGCAGAAAATATAGACAGTACAAAAGTGAGTTGAAAGGAGGAAAAATTACGGTATCCATGAAATTCATAGGAGGAAGGACTGGATGGACATATTTGTCTTCAACATGGACCTAAAAGATCTAATTTGAAATGGCTCCAGTATTAAGGGAGGTGGAGACAAACTCAGAAAGGATTCTTCAAGTACAAGCAGCAAGTTTCTATTAATGACTGTGTTTCTCTATTCCATGACTTAAAACAGGTACAGCAGGATGACTAGCATTGGCTACTAGTAATTTCCTTGAAACATTTAAGAATCTACTGGATGCCATAAATCACTGAGAACTGATCATTTTAGTGGATCTTCTTCATTTGCAGGAGGGGATATATGACTTGAGATAAGTTTAAAATATAACCATAGGGCCCATTTCTAATTAAATGCCTTAGTGGTTAATAGTCTTTAATTTCCTGGTTTATTTTCAGTGGCATCAAACAGGCAATACATTCTAGCAATTAAAGGGCGCAAAGTCAATTGGACAAAGACCAATTCAGGTAGGTGTACAAAATTCTACCTACATGGAGTTTTGTAATCTAATATCCAGAACAATTTGAAGCCCCTCAATGCTTTATGTGTGGATCCCAAAGCTGCTTTGAAAATTGCTGGTAAACTATAATGTAATGAGACATAAAGGGAATTTTTAAAAATACATGGGAGAATATATAACTAAATTTGAATTTAAAGTTAATAACTTTTGCTTTCAATTTTCCCCATGAACCTCTTCTCCCAATTTTTGGAATATAGCCTTCATAGGCCCCATGTGAAGATAGTGTAGTATGTAGATTTTGTTCCTTTTCAACAACACCATTCCATCTGCTCAGTGTTATCCAGAGGCCCTTTCCCAGGTGGCTAGCCGATTAACGAATTCTAGCTGTATCAGACTGTCCACTCAAAGTTAAAACCGCCAAGATTCTGCTGTGTTATACAAAAAGTTTCCAACATGAACTGTAATTAATACAGAGTACAAGCCAGAAGGGTAGTTACTGGGGAGTTTTTGTATATGTTTTGGTATATTTCAGCAAGTTTCTTTCACTCGACAGAGTGCTCAGTGAGGTATGTGTTGATGCATGAGCCTTAGCTTTGTTTACATCACAGTTGGTGTAAGAAAATTCTGGGTATATTTGGCAAATATAAAAACATTGCTTTCAGCAGAAGTTATGCTAGTTCTATTATACAGTATAAAGAAGTAATAAGTTCCCTCCTAATGAAGCCATTTCCGTCGTACTTAAAACAGTGGCTGCAAAAATTCTCATTACCCCTCCTCCTTTCTTAATACAACAATAATTTCAATCATCAAATTCAGAAATCTCAATTTCACTTCCCCCCCCCCCCCTTTTCAGTTCATAGATGATTTTGAGGCTCTTATAAAAGTACTTATTACTTTGTTCCCTGACCAGCTAGTTCTACCATCTTCACAATCCATTCTTCCATTGTGGATATGTCAGTATTTCTCCACCTTTGTGCAAATAATAATCTTGCTACAATTAACATATATAAAATCAGTCTTCTTAAGTCTTTTTAACTGATTATCCATTAGTCCCAATAAAAAGAGTTCTGCTTTCATCTTGATATTACTATTCAAAAGTCATATTATGACAGTTATGCCACACCCTAATGGACAAGGAATTTGAAAACAGTCTAGAATTTTGTTACTGTATATTTATTGCAGAAAAAAATATTTATGCGCAAAAATGGTAAGATATAATAACCCCATAATGGAAGAATGTTTAGAAAAACTAAGATGGTCAAATTAACTGATTTAATTAAAGAAAAGATGCTTTTTTCTTTTCCCCCTGACTCCACACTTCTCTTTCTCCCCTTTTTTTCTTCCATTTCCCTATTATATTTATTTTCATTTGTATTTTCTATTATGATAATTTCAATAAAATTATATAGGTTATGCCACCTCCTTGAACAGAAGGCTGTATTCACAATTACTGTGGCTTTAGGTACTCAGTTGCATTACTGCAATGCATTCTTCATAGAGCTATCCTTGAAATAAGTTTTACTTAGTGTCTGAAAAGTATACACAAAATTACACTGTCAATACATTCAATTATGTTTTCACAAAGTAAGTTCATACACTCAGGACTCAATTATGTTACAACTGATACGAAATAGAAAAAAAAATCATGCTTGTTTATAAAAGCTATAAAACTCAACAATCAGCATTTTAATTGGGTGTTTGTAGTTTTTAATATAAGGGCCAAATTTTTAATATATTTTAAACAGTTTTTTAAATTTTGTGGGTATATGTTGTTTTAATATGGCTGTACACTGCCCTGAGTCCTTCGGGAGATGGGCAGTATAAAAATTTAATAAATAAATAAATAAATAAATAGAATGTTAAATATTTACCCGTTTTAAAATACTAACATTAAATGCCCTTGCAAAAGACTGAATACTAATGTATTTTCCTTGGATTTTCATTGAGTAACGAATGAACATAAGAACCGGCACTAACAAGGAAACAAGCATAGTTTGATGGTCAATGCTAAAAATAATCTTCAGCCATCCCCTCAAGTGAAGGAAATTCCTACCACACCTCAAACCAAAAATTAGAGAAAGAGAGTTAAGCCACATAATTTCACCACGGTAAAATTACACCCTTACTTGTATAATCTCTTCTGTTCAACAAGGAATACTTCATTCTCCAGAATCTTTTGCAGCAAATTATACTTCGAGAAATGCTTATATCTACAAGATAACACTTATACCTTGAGGGCATCACCATCTAGAATCCCTGGTATATTCTTTGGCAGAAAACTAGCAAATTATCTTCAGGTAGGAAATTATTTGTTTTTAAAACTTCTATTAATTCTGTGGTAATGTGCCTTCAATTACTACATTTCAAATCCAACTTATCTACTATTGTTATATAATGTTACTTTTAATAACATATAACTTTTAAAAGGATGTACCTCATAATAAATATAAATTTGTCTAATTTATGCATGAATTAAGAACGTATGGAAACTTCTCAAGATAAAAGACTTAAGATTATTTTGCACAGGTTTGGTAGAAAACAGATTATTGGGCAACAGTAGAAAAAAACAATACTGAAAATTTCCTAAGAGTTAGCTTTAATGGAATCCTATCTTCTCCTGTGCCAGCACTAATGTAGATCTGAATCTGCTGCCTAGTTGCTCTATTGTAGCACTATGATGCTGCTATTTTTCCAGTTCTCTTAAGCCATTATTCCAGGAAGCCTGCCTATTGCTCAGCTGCTTCCAGAACAGACTTTGGAAAGAACAGGAATATATTTCAGAAGGTGAAGTATACAAAAACAGAGCTGCATGTGTTGATTCACTCATCTAATACAAGATTCTGCTTGAGCTATAAAGATAACTATCTATTGAAAGCTATTAGCCTATTATTTAAGAGTCAAGGGCTTCATTTAGTGGTTTATATTCAGATCTAATAGTTCATATTCTTCAACCAATGTTGTACTTTTTGGGTTCTTTTGGTAAAGCATTTCATTTTTTGAAAATCAGTTCAGTTCAAAAGCAGCAGATAGCAAACCAGAATGAAAAATTCTTTTAGACATAGTCAAAGCTGATAGCAAGAGCACATCTAGATAATGAAAACATGAGGCATGAGGAAACGGATTGGGACACCAGAAGCGTGTGTTTGAATAGAATTTTTAGCAGCAAATGTGGATGAAAAAAAGTAGGCTTGTCCTCTTGCTTTAGATAAGCTATGATACAAAGTAAACATTTAATTTTCTTAATTATGTGATTAAAATGAATTCAACAGACAAAAAAGATAGGTAGGAAGAAAAGGAAAACAGTGCCGGGAAAATATTTCCTATCTCTTAGGAGACATGAAATACGTATTATAAACTTTTATAACAGAAGGTTTAGAGACTGTTCTGATTTACACATATGAAAGTGTATACTTCATTTGCCAACAATTTCATGGAACAGAATTTATTTAATAGAAGTGAATGCTTATAAGTGAATATATCTTTATCTCAACCAATTCCTAATTTATATTCTGCTTAGAAACTTTTGATCTTATTTTTTTTTATATAATTTGGGCATTTGCTTGAATACAAAATAAATCTATTTACTAATCTGAATTAGGCATAAATTACCTGTTTAGATTATTTTTCCATGTTTCTTGTATTGATTTATCTTCTAATACTAACATTGTCAGGCAACAAACTTATATATAAGCAAGAATTTGTGCTATTTGATATTGAAGTTAATTGCTCAATCTCTTATATGTAAAATTTCAATTTATAAATATTGATCTTGACTTGACATTTATTGAACACAACTGTTGTATAATATTTGGGTCCTTTAACTATGGTTGCTGTTTTGGCCATCATTGTGCATTCTCTCTTCCCAAATTTCCTGGAATCAATTAACTAATTTTTTACTCAGTTTTTGAGACCAACAAGTAATAATATTTTTACTGTGGCAGTTATGCTGCAGTACAATAGTTCCTTTCAATTTATTTTATAGGATAATAATAACTTATTTTAAATGGAAAGACAGTTAAAGAAAATATAATTTCTCTTACTTCTGAGTCTAAGGAACTATATCTAGGCTTTCCAATTAATTGTTTTAAGTCCTCATTCTTATGCTTAAATAACTAATTTTTTTTTTACAAAACATACATTACTAAAACAACAGCTAACAACTAAATAGGCAGCTATAAACACCCCAATCAATAATTAAAAAGCCACACATAACCAGGTACAATATAAATACCACACACAGAATAATCCAAAGCACTCACTCTGCTACAGAGAAGTTCCCTGAGAATGGGCTCCAGCTCGAGTCCGAAAGCTTGAAAGAATACATCTCTGGTCCCTGTGACCGACCCAGATTGGATCCTGCAACTTTATCCAGGGACACATATATTTGCCTTCATTCGTATCTAGCCTGTATTTGAAAATCCCTAATGAAAGGGAAGAAACCATTTCATGATGTAATACATTTGACTGATTTGAGAGTTCTTATTGTCAATAATTTCTTTCTACTATCTTATATATGTACATTCTTGGAGTTTCATCTCATTAGTTCTAGTGTTAAAGGCAAATGGGAATAAGTCCAAATTCTCTCCAGTGTGACAGCCCTTCACATACTTGAAGACAGTTTCCATGTCCCCTCCCAACCTTCTTTCCTGCAAGTTAATCATATCTAGATCTTTTAACCTTCCTTGTAAGACTTGGTTCTTGTGTTTTCATTGTCTTGGTAGCACTGCTCTGGACTTGTTCCAGTTTATTGATGTCTTTTTAAAACTGGGATGGGCACAGTAGTGGGTTTCGCTTACCTTCACTACCGGTTCGGAACTGTGAGCGTGCGCGGGCATGCGCTTGCTTTGCTCACGGGGCTTCTGCGCATATGCAGAGTGTCAGTGATGATGTCCAGGTGGGTGGGCGGAGCCTCCCGCTACCAATTTGCCTGAACCGGGGCGAACCGGAAACCCACTGGATTTCTGGATGTGCAGAATCGAACGCAAGTCAAGCCTGATCAAAACAGAGTAGAGCAGGATAAATTATTTTCTGATACCTGGATTCTGAAGTCCGCCTGATGGCCTTCTTTGTAGCTGGAACATGTTGAGCTTGTGTTCTACTAGTACGCTCAAGGCCTTCTCATATGTGCTTTTCTTGAGCTAGATTTCTCTGCTTTTACAAATGTTTGCAGATTAGTCGGCTGTTTCGTAACATCCTGTGTGGGCATGGTCCTAGCTGTGTGCCCATTAGTCTTTTGTGTTTTAACGACTTGGGTAATGGGACGTTATGAAACAGCCAACTAATCTGCAAACATCAACTCCATCAACTAATCAAGATGTAACAACACAACAACAAAACCAGCACTCCACACCTCCCCACCAATATTTATAGAGAGATGGCATCTCCGATCACACTTTGCTCGCACTAGCACAAAGCTGAAGACACCAGCCTGAAGATGACGAGTGTGACCTTGTCGAAACGTTGCCAAGATACTCTCAATCTTACACGGAAAAAGACCCAAATACGCCAAGACTTGCATACCTGTATCCGTGGAAATCTACGAAAATATATGCTCGGACAGAGCTCTATGGCATCCTACTTGAAATGTCTCTCAAGACAGATTTGACACATTTATAAATGTTTAAGACCCTTGAGCAAATTATGGATCCACCTATGTTTTTAAATCCATATTTTGATAATAAGGATGCTATGAGAGACTTGCCTAAAAGCCTTGCTGAAGTCAAGACACTGACTGCCCTTCCCCAATTATTTATTGTTTCACATTTTCGAACTTCCCATCTCCTTCAAAGAGCAATTAACCAAGCTTGTAACTATCATGAGATCAGGTTAGTTTGACATGACTTCTTCAGCATATATCCATGTTGGCTCCTGTTAACTAATCAATTCTTATTTAAGTGCTCACAGACACTAGTTTTCTGTCACCTATTTACTTTCAATTTCTTTGCTGGACTCTAGGTTTGAGCCCTCGAATTTCCTTTAGGCTTTATTTTCATTGACCAGATAAAGCTTTCTCCTAAATAAAAAGGCTTACCTTATATCCTACAAACTGAACAATAGATAGACTCGGAATCACAAGTAGAAACATATAAAAGATTGTTTACAAGTCTATATATTTATCTTAGTTATATATCGTATCTATTATCTAAGAGGACAAATAATTTGTATTATCTTTATATCTTTTATAAACTTGGCTAGAGAAAGGCTGGATCAATTTAATTTAGAATGCCAACAAGATACAGAATTTCTTCTCTGACAACCAAGTCTCTATTTCTTTTCTTACCATTTGTTATCACGAAGTAAAGTTTGGACTATGTGTTTTTCTACAATGTTCAGTATTTTTTCATTTTATAATTTAATTGGATATAAAAATTAGTGCACAGAATAATATCTTACATAAGATCTTTTAAACCATATTTTAGAAGAAAAGTACATCTAATCAACTGCCTAATTTACTTAGGATTTTCCATATATCAGGTAAACACAGAAAATTAGATCTGCAAAAATCCAGATATCTACTAAATATCTACTGAGATACAAAATACTGAAAATCTTTACTCCCTTCATCCAGATTTTTTTCCAGATTATATATGATAGCCTGACAAGAAGTGCTTTTATAAATCTTTACTATTGTTAGAACAATAAACTTTTCTAACTTACTCAATATGGCTTCCACAGTTGATGCTGATGCCTTACAGAAAATTCCTCAGCTACCAGTCTTGGATGCCCTAGACATGCCTCCCTTTACCAATGAATTCAAGATTGTGATCTTGCAGATGAATTTAAGTAAAGCAACAGTGCAGGATATCATTCCATTCCTGCTGAGATCTACAAAGGCCTAGACTCAAATGCTTTATAGACATTCTAAGACATCTTGGAAATCATTTGATCCACAGAGGACACTGTCTGTGATGCCCTAATTGTGGCTCTCTATAAAAGATAAGGAAAGCAAATTAGACTGCAGTTAGGAAGGACCTACCACAATTGATCAAATGGTTAAAAGTGACAGCAGGAAGTTTCTAGTGTTAGATCTGCAAGGTTCTGTTAATGTAGCCTTATTTTTAAAAAGTAGTTCTTGTAGTCATATTTCCTGTCTGGTTTACCTGGGAGGGCTGACATGATGTGCTAGAGACTCTGTGCTTTCAGACTGGGCTACAGAGCCACCACCAGGTCCAGAGTTGAACTGCACAACAGTATTTGTCTTTGAAGCCAGAGAATTGCCATATTATACTTTAAAACTACAGCCATTTTTCATGGCAGGGAAATACAAATGGAATCATACTAATCAATGTCTTAGTAAGCTAACATCAATGTTTATAATGTGAAATATAATAATTTATGCTATTAGGTTGAATATTCATATTGGATAATTTCAACTGAAGGAAGAGATCAAAATAGACAATGGGAAAATGTATATAGAGTCCTAAAATAAGTTAAATATGTATGCTTTATCTTTTACATGCCATTAAGCACTAACAAATCTTTTTAATGCTACTTTGCTTAGCTAAGTCTACTGAACGTTGTACTCATTCAAGCTAAGTGCAAACAGAAAGAGAATTTTAATTCCAAGCTTAGAATCATTTTAAATCTTAAATATGTAGAAGTGTTAGCTCCTAGACAAAGAAAACATTGTTCTGTTAACTATATAATACCAGTATTTCCTTTGTTATCAACTTTTTAATGTTAACGTATTTAATCTTGTTTTCTTCTTTCTGCAGGAAGAAGATGGATGTGGCAAAACTAAGTCAAGTGTTAACTATTTTTCTTCTCTTTGAAATGTCAGTATTTGGTCAATATGAGAGTGATGATTTTGAGGATGAATACGAACATGAAGTGGACAGTGAATATCCATCTATTTTCCATCAAATTCCTCATGTAGAATATAACGTTCCATACTCCACCATAAGTGCTGAGTGTGCCAAAGAATGCTTCTGTTCACCTACTTTCCCAACAACCATGTACTGTGATCATCGTAAGCTTCTGACAATACCAAAGATTCCTGCTCACATCCAGCAACTTTATCTGCAGTATAATGAGATTGAAGCTGTGCCTCTGGAATCCTTTGTTAATGCTACAGCTTTGAAAGAAATTAATCTCAGCCACAACAAGATCAAGTCTCATAAGATTGACAATGGTGTATTCATCAAACTTGCAAACCTCATACAACTTCATTTAGAATATAATCAGTTAGAAGAAATTCCATTCCCATTACCCGGAAGCTTAGAAAGGTTGATCCTGGGTTTCAATCAAATTTCCAAGTCACACAATAAAGCCTTAGAAGGGTTAACACATTTAACAATGCTTGACCTCTGTAATAATTACCTTGAGGATTCCCAGCTCAAAGGAATAGACTTTTCAAGTATGAGAAACCTAATGCAGATTAACCTTTGTAACAACAAGCTACAGTCTATGCTTCTAGATCTACCACCTTCACTGATGTATCTTTCGCTTGAAAATAATTCAGTTTCTTCCATTCCAGATAATTACTTCCACAAGTTTCCAAATCTTACTGCTTTAAGAATGTCACACAATAATCTTGAAGAAATTCCTTATAATGCTTTTATGTTCTCTAATCTTCTGGAACTTAATCTTGGGCATAACAAATTGAAACACGTTTTCTATATTCCAAGAACCCTACAACATTTATACTTAGAAGATAATGAACTAGAAGGTTAGTTTAATTGCTTTTATAAATCTAGTTTTTTTAACATTTACTTTTACTTGAAGTATATTTAATTACACTGTAATATATGTATTAGTGAATTAGCTTTCCAAAGGTTCTTATGCTAAAATTCATGTAGTACATGGTACTAAATTAGCTAGCAACCATATGGAATTTTAAGTAGCATATTAGATATAGGAAGAAAACAAGTAGGAGCTATAATGTTGCAACTAGCTTTTTGCTTAAAAGATACACATACATGCCAAATCCTTACATAGGATTTGTTGTGCAAAAAAGATGGCCACAATTTCCCAAAGTCTCCGTTAAGATCATATTTGATGCTGGTTTTTTGTCCCATATCAATGATTGAGGAACCTACATTAACAGAGTGGTAGAGACGAAAAAATCAATTTCAGCTTAACAATGATAGAAGATTTCTAGTTATTAGTTTTGCTCTCATAACAGGAAAAGAGTACTTTGGAATATCTTGCAAGAACCTATTTATTTTAATTAACATTGTTTTTGTCTTTTTACAGTCATGAATGTTACTTTAATGTGTCCTACTATTGATCCACTAAACCTCAAACATTTAACGTACATACGAGTGGACCAAAACAAGCTTACAGCTCCAATTAGCACCTATGCATTCTTCTGCTTTCCACATGTGCGAAGCATTTATTATGGAGAACAAAAAATTAGCAAAGATCAGCAAACACAGCTGAGAACAGCTGTGTTCCGAAGATTTCTAACTCAAGAAGAATATGAAGAAGCAGAAGATTTTCACGAAGAACAAGGTGAAAGCCATGATCACGATTCCAGAGGAAGTGACAATGACAACTACCTTGACCCTTACTTCTATTAACAATCTTAAGAGGTAGTAAAACTATCAAACAAACAAAAAAATAATATCAAGTACAAAAGAAAACGGAATAAACTGGAAAATGCAGTAAACCATCTGAAGCATATCAATATATTTTGTAGCATATAGAATATTTTTATGCAGAAAATCTCAAAAGCTATGAAAATAGTATTTCTTAGATCTTCAACCTATTAATAGCAGACTATTAAAACATTTTAAATATCATAGAAACATCCAAATGCCATCACAATGTTAATATGGTAATGATATCTAAATCCTGATATATTTGAAACTGCAATATGACACATTACTACTATCTCACATAGATCTTATTTTTAGTTTGAATACATTTTCTAAGAGAAGTTACAGTTTATTCAGAATCCTAATTAGGCTTGCAGCAAAACCATTACAATAGTAGATTTTAAAATCTTTGGTATTTCAGTTAACATGAAATATTGAATGGTTGAGTGGTCAAGCATTTAACTATTTTACACTTTATTCATGAAAAATTCAACTTTTCCCAAATTCACTTAACAAATATGAAATTATTCAGGGAGCTATCTATTGACTCAGAAGAATAAATTGAAGTTAATACTGTACTCAAGTGAAACAGATTGCTAGTAGGTAATAGGTCAATTAAAAACCATAATTTGAATCCAAAGATGTATTAATTATATGTATAATAGAACAATGAGCAATCTTTTAAGTTGACAGGACACCCAGAAATAAAATGAAACCTGACTAAAATCTTAAGAGATCATCAAATTTCACATAAGCTTACTAACTTTACTCCTGAGAGCTTTGCTATCTCTCATGAGAAATAATAAAACATTCATCCTGCTGCATAACATTTCAGAAGTTTTTGGTTCATTATCATAAGCACCCTATTTTAATTTTTTTAAATTTTCTTTTGCCTATCGGCATTATCTACCTTTTGGGTTACATAAAATCATTGTTGGTATCATGAGTACTTTACCATGGGCCCAATTCACTCTTGCTACAAAGTACATTTCAAGTACATTTAATGTGTAACAAACTTAATGTTTGTTACAGAATATAAAATGTTATCTAGGATGCAATAAAAAGAGAATATTTGTAGCTCAGGTTTGATGCAGTCTACATCAATGAAACTATCACTAAACAAGAACATACACACAGACACATATTGCAACATAGGGAAAAATCAACAGACTTGGCTTATTCACTTCATCAGCAATGCAAGGCTATCAAAAATGCACAATATTTGCATTATTTTAAAAAATGCACAATATTTTTAATCAGTATTCACATTTATTTTGCTTTCATATATGGATTTTAACAATAAATATTTAAATATATATTCTGTTTATAAAAGTATAAGATGTTACAAATAAATTATGATACGATTGAAATACATAGATTATTTTTGCCAGCAAATTACTTTGCCTCTGTATTAAATTGGGTTATTGATAGACAGTGATGCACCAAAAAGATGGAATTTTATGCACCAAAAAGATGGAATTTCATTTTGATAATCTTTATTTTTCTTTTCTAAATTCTAAACGTCATGTTGTGCTCTTGACTTGAAATACTACATTAATTCATAAAAATGACTAACATTTAACAGATATTCTGTATTCTTAAAGATTAATATAATGTACTAGTATTCCACAGGGATAAATAATTAGCTTCTTTTATATTTATTGTTATATAAAGCTATGAATTAAAAATTAAACATATCATCCTTTTGGGAACATTTCAGAAGACTAATGTAAGAGCTAACAGCAAAAGATATTTTAGAAAAATTGGATTACATAGTTTTATTCCTATTTTCCCCTTCCTTTCAATTATGTCTGGTACTTGGAGACTATCCGAACAAGTCCCTGCAGTTTTCTTGGCAAAGCTTTTCAGAAATTATTTGCCTTCTTCCAAGGGCTGAAAATGACTGTCCCAGTCATAGTCTCTGTGTTTCTAGTCTGATGCATTAAACTCTACAGCAAACTGGCTTTTACTTAGATGATTCAATATTGTATATAATATCTCTATAATTAAGTACCTTTAATTGATAATACATGCCATAAATCGTTGTAAAGTGCGAATGCTAGCAATAGATTTTATTTACACTTGTGTTGTTTTAACAGCTTGGCTAAATTAGCTAGTATATTTTAGGTAACATTTTGGTTCTAAAGATATAGTCATTTTTGTTTTAAAATATATATATGAGATATATCATGTATACCAATAAATCAAGACTTTAAATGTTCTTCATCCTGCGTGTAATTTTCAGAGTAAAGCAATTTTATACATTTTTTTTAATTTTATACATTTATCATTGATCTTTAATGTTTTGTCATTTCTACCCTAGCAGTTACCAAAAGGAAAAAAGCCCCTTTCTTATTCCATAGTAAGTACTATCTTTATCAAAAGTAACAAATATTATTTCCAGAAAATAGTATATCATATTATCTGATAATCTTTAATGTCATCTATTGCATTTCTTATCAACTAAACCAAAAGTGAATCAATCTCTTATATTTCACAATCCACATATTCCCCAACATGAGAATAGAAAACTGAACATATGCTCATTCATTTCCACCAAATGAAAACCTCTGTCAAGATTGAGCCGCTTTGCTTCTTTCAAACCTTAACACTTTTCAATTTGCCAATGAACTGGAGGAATGGAAGGGGGAAATAGAATGCTGAAAATGTGTGTGTGGACCGTGAGAGCCTGGCAACCGTCAAGGTCACCAATGCAGGCGCTTGAGAAAGAGATGGACTGTTCCCATTATAAAAGGACTTCTCATAATTGGACAATGTGATCACCCAAGGGTGAGGAGAAAAGGAAGTTGTTGTTTATCTAAGCAAGCATTTGCATGGGGTAAACCAGAACTGGTTTTGATTCTTCAGTACCAAAATGCTGTATCCAATAAAGTTTTACTTTGGGAATTCAAGGCTCCCAAGAGAGTTTCCTTATTTTGGGTTCACTAGTTGGACAGTTGATGTAGATTATTCTACATGTGCAGCTCATGATGATTCCTGTTATGCCATTATTCCATGTGCAGGATATTTGAACAGTTGAACCAAAATTTTAGTTTTCAGAAAAATTCTATTGCACGTAGCAGTATTTGCCATCTATAAAAAGGTGGTATTTTCATAAATAAATTGTGTTTAAGTAATCCCAACAAAGTTTAGATATTTTATAAATAATACTTTAAAGTTGCAACTGCACAAATTCTTCTATTCACTTGTTTTTTGAATGTACAGTATGGTGAAAAGTCAAAGAAAATGCATATTCCCTAGAAAACAATAACTATTTCCCTAATAGTTTAGGTAATTGGAAATAGTAACAAACAAACAACAACATTAGAAGGCTAACATAAATAACCAAACCATATTCATATAAATATGGTTCAAACTCAGCACTTTCTGAAAGTATTTTCAACTGAGCAAATTTATAGTTTTCATAGAAATGTTGATAAATCAGTCTGCTAGGATTTGCTAGGATATTATTAAAATTCTATGCTGCCCATATCACTGATACAGCAATTTAGGATGAAATGACACAGATAGGGCCTCTGAATACGAGAAGTTATTGAAACCTCCCTTTAACAACTTTGAGAATAAGGCATTAAATTTGTCAGTATCGACACCCTATCATGTGAGGTGGACAGTATGTTAGAAAAATATAACATCAGAGTGTCTATTAGCAGAGACTCCCATAGCAAGTTGGAAGTTTTGGAATTGCAGTATCATCCTCCCTCTTTGTATGATCTCCAACAGTTCATGGTTAACAAAGACTGAGTTAAGAGGCTGCAACTGGAGATATCTCAGAGAATAAACTAGATCAGGGGCTCACAGTAGAACACTTGTTTCATCATCTACATCGGGGGTCCCAGCTGGAAAATTCTGGGAGCTGGGACACCCCGATGTAGATGAAATAAGTGTTCTACTATAAGCCCCTGATCTTTGTTTGTTTGTTTGTTTGTTTGTAATGGAATAGCATGAACAACCTAGTCACTGGGAATCAGCAAAGCCATACTTCTTTAAACAATGAGTAAAAGAACGAAACAAAACAAAGCCAAAGAATGAAATGAGATCATTGTGAGAATGCAATTGCAATTGTTTTTCTTCCCACAACCAGCTATTTAAGGTGCTGTTATCACCTATAAAGCCCTACATGGCACAGGATTGGATTATTTGCAGGAGGAGCCCTCCCAATGACATTATCCAGTTCCATTTACTATATTGGTAGGTACGTTTTGGGTCCCTTCCCTGAAACAATGCTTTTTCCATGTCCTGTGAAATGATCTACCCACTTCTCTTCCAATGTTTGGCTGGCCCTGATCCTGCAGGCCTTCAGAAAGGCTTTATTAAATGGAGTATTTCCCCAGATGCTGGGGCTGGAATTATTGTTCCCATCGAAAAGTAGGTATGAACATGTTTGTCTGAATTTTCATTCAAACTTTTTCTTGTTTTCTTGGCTGTTGTAAATCAGCCAAAGCAGCACTGAACAATCTGGGAAGCCAAATACATACTTTAAATAAACAAATAAACCAAACTGCTTATAAACTGCCTTAATCTGTACACTAATAGTGACTAAAATGTAAAATTAAGCTTGAGTGAAGAGTTGCTTATTATTCTTATCCGTAGAAAACGTGCTGAATATGGACATTCTCAAAGTAACTGGCCTTAAGCTAAGAGTGCATCAATTTTAATAGATGGAAGCTACATTTACTGATTCCCCCCCCAAAAAATTTTTTTGGAGATGATTCCATACGTCCAAAATGTCAGAAGAAAATTTCAGGAGGAAAAGAAGTATGGCTTGCAATAGGGAGGGTGGGATGGGAATTTTTCTTCTCTAAATACTGGCTTGGAATATATGTTTGTTTCCGTTCTTCCAGACTTCATATTTGGAAAATATAAAGATTAGAGATTATATTCAATAACTCCTGAATTTACTAAATAGAAGACAGAACAGATGACAACTCTAAAAAGTCTGCAAATGCATTAAGATTCAAAACCAACAAAATACCAAATATATTGCAACATAATGTGAACTGATTCCAATTTTGCATTTGACAACACTCTCAGTCAGCACAGTGAATGGAGAGAACACAGTTATGTTAAACTTGGATCAAGTTGCAAAAGAGCACAAACTGTAAAGCAACAGATGTGCTATTATCCAAAGCATCCAATTCCAACTGAGATGGTATTCCAGAGCAAACAGCTGGTTTCTGAACTCTGACTTTTGTGGAGCAATAAACTGTGTACTGTATAACTAAAAACCTTCAGGGTAGCTGTTGTTTTAAAAAGCTCTCTAAAGTTAAGAAATAAAAATCTCAGCTGATACTTTTAGCAGGACTGTCAAATTGAAAAATGTAGCAAAAATCAGTAAATGAAACAGCTATGTTCTTCAATGTTAAATGCTCTGTGCACATCCAGTTCTTATTAATCTTCACTGCCTATGTATAAAACAGTGAATGTTGTGAAATAATGTTTTATAGCAGGACATATCAAAAGATTTTCACTGAAATCCTTCATAATGGAAACCTGCTTCTCCTAAACATTGTACATTCAATGAGTATTGTTCACTCTTTTCTGTATTTTTCACTCTTTTCTGTAATGATCTATTAAGATTGGAATGCTAGCCAGTCTTCCAAAAAATAAAAGTAATTAACTCTGACACTGCTGAAGAAAGACCTCAAGGAGGTGAATGGAAAACAGTGTCCACCAATTCGTGTTTTAAAGTTTATGCTGCAAACTTAAAAGTTTTGCAACTTTTTTCCTACACACACAAAAATGGAATGCTTATGCTTTATCTGAAACGGAAGTCACTTTCTTTGTTTTTCATTAAATGCTAGACTAAATGAAAAGCATATGACTTTGCTGAAGTCTTTATTGCATGAAACTGCAGCTGATCTAGGAAATGCTTTCAACTATGAGCAACTAGATTAACATTTTAAACTGGATTCATTCCATTTTGTAGCAGAGCAAAACTGATTTATCATGTAACATTTTGCACATAAGCCTGCATGCTAACACAACCCTTTTTACCCTACAGACAGTACATCTAAAGTCTATCCATCTTTGAAACTGCATTACTTTAGTTTCTTGAAAATAAACCATAATTTTTCTCTGGCCTTTTGGAATCAATGCACAGAAAACTATATTGAACACAGATACACAAGAGATCTTATTCAGCAAAACGGTAGGTGTTGTTTTCCAATAAATTATCTTAATGTATACCACATGGTTACAAGTTACTGTAAAAAATATTTTGACTGTATAATACTTCATCTAGAAACTATAATCAGTATATCTTTCTTGAATTGTATACAAGCATGCTTTATGTTTAAAATATGCTTTTATTCATTTTTATTTTTAAATTCCTATTTTTCTGGATAGCATAGATCCCTAAGACAATACAAACTGTTACTTTCACTCCAGGGATGGGCTTAGCTTGACTCCACATTTTAACTATTTCTTCACTCTGTGTTTCAGATCTCAAAATATGGGGTTTCAATTTCTTCTAATTAGCATGCAAAATCAGAAATTATAAGAATCTGAAATAATATCAAGTATATAAATATACATTGTCATACTGTATAGTGCCGATTTTTAAACAATAGAAGGATTTAAATAAAGAATACTAAGAGTTAAGTCATCTTTCCCTGTTCCCTGAGCATTAGAAAACTGCTGCCAGCTACTCTTCTAGGGCTTTAAATATTGTTCTGACAGACTGCTTTCCTTGTTTCGAGTTACAAGAATCATTCTCCTTGGTTCTTTCAGCAAAACCCAGGTCTGAGCTCCTGAAATGAAGCCTTCACAGAAATTTTATCTCTTCTGTTTTTTTATGCCCTTGGTGAAGTTAGCACCACCTAATCAACAACACTCAACCCTATTTCATGAAACATTCCAGCAAGGTTTTGAAGATGCATTATTTCAGGAAGACTATGAAGACAATCGACAGGACGGGGTAAAAAATAAGGTAGTTTACAAGTTCTATATTCCTTTTTTCCACTCTGCCAGTGTATGATTTAGCCCTGCATGCGTGTTTCATGGCTAAATATAACAGCCAATAAAGGGGGAGGGGGGGGAGAGCAAGGAAATACCAAAAAAAAGAAAAAAGAAAAAAGAAAAAAGAAAAAGAAAAAAAAAGAATACATATATATTATTGTTTTGTTTTGTATGCTTTATTCCTTTATCCTTACCTAATCCAAATACCTGTGCTTATAGAAATATATAATATGGCCATGAGCTCAGCTTAAATTTGACTCAAACTATAATTATTGCTTTGTTCCTAATGATATACACAACAATGTTATGTAGCACTGCAAGGAATTATCAGGGTTCTCTTGTACACCAAGCAGTCAGAGTGGTCTCCTGAGAGTCATAACTGAGGGGGACCTGCTGCTATTAATTAATTTTCTGGCCTGAGAAAGTCATGAACTAATTCCCCAACCATGTATAGAAAATATATTTAATAACAAACTACTTTCACATGAGGCAAATTAAAATATATGCATATGAGGTGTATTATATAAATAACACACTGTTGCAAGGTATTCTTTATTGAGACTGAAAGAAAATATTGTACCATCAGCCAGCTGATTAACTCAGTTGCCTTTGAGTAAGAATAAATAGAATAATTTACACTGAATTAACCACACAATAGTTTAATCTTAATCAACAATTATGTTATCTATCCATTCACTAGGTAGAAAGTTTGAGTTTATTGAGCCACATTGATGTTTAGTCAATACCAAGAAGAAATAATAGACTTAGAATTTATACCGTCTGGAGAGATCATGTTTAGTTGAAATACATAAAAATTAAAAACATGTTTGTGTGTGTGAGTGCATTTAAATTAATTCAAGGGAAAGCAGTTTAATGATTAACATATCTAAATTTCTTTTCATTCCTTGAGAATACCTATTTGCTATCAT